TTCATCGTCGTTATTATGTGGAAATAAAGCAAAAAAAAAATGAATAATAAACGAAGAAGAATACGAAAGAAAGAAAGAAAAAAAAGAATATCAATCGGCGACCAAACAAACATGATCATTATATTCTATATTAGAAAATATGTTTTCAAATTGTCGATTTGATTTTTTTTCTCTCTCTCTCTCTCTCTCTCTATCTCTCATTCTATATTTTATTAAGTTTGAGTTCTGCAGATTGAATTGTGAGCAAAAAAAAAAATAAACTTTGGGTATCCTTTGTAATTCTCTGATTCTTGACTGTTTGTTTTTTGTGACAAAATCTCTCAATTATTCATTCAGCGTGTGTGTGTGCGTGTCACTCAGGTTTTATTTTCTTGACTCTTCGTCATCATCAACAAACATTATTCATCATTTCATCAGATGATCTCCATAGATAAATCAATCGAAAATCGAATAAGTTTATGTGAAAAATAAATGTGGTGGGTGTTTTTTTTCATTCTGTTGTTGTTATTTGATTTAAAAATTATTTTTTTTGTTCTCTTTCAATTTGTTTATTTCACAATCAAAAACACCACAAAAACATCGATCATTCCACCATGCATTCAAAAATAATTTTTCATTTTGTTGTGTACAATGTGATAAAATGTGACATTTCATCATCATCATCATCATCAAATGACAGCAATAACAAAATAAAACCAAAAAATCAAAGTAAGAATCTTGTCTGTTGTTTTTTTATTTGATTTCGATAATTATCTGAAAGATTCTGGAATCGTGTGCCAGTGTGTGTACGAAATTGGAACAACTTTTTTCCATTAGATCATGAATATTCATTCATCGAATGAAAAAGAGATGGAGCAACAGTTGCAATAGAAAATCTCAGTATTTATTATTTTTTTTTTTTTAAAATGAAAAGCTAAATAAAACTAAGCTTTGAATTGATAGTTGAATTTTCAATTCATATAATAATCATTTAAAACGTGCAACATTATTGCTCGGTGTGTTTTGTTTGTGCTTGTGTGTGTGCATCAAACACATCGAGCCAGGTTTATTAATAGATTGAAGGTCAATTTTTTTTCTTTTTTCTTATTTCTTTTATTTTTCCTCATCAACATCGTTTGTTCACTATTTTCTTTCATATTTCTAATTTCATCATTTTGTTTTTGTTATTTTGGTTTCTTGGTAAATTAGAAATGAATGAGAACGAAGAAAAAAAAACAATGACAAAAAATAAAACATTCTGATGAACCACATCATCATCATCATCATCATCACAAGTTCGTACAATCAACCATCATAATAATCAATGACAATTGTATTTGTATCATAATCTCGATTGATATAAAAAAGGGCTATTTAAATGTAGAAAAAAAATTTTTTTCTTGCTGACGTTATTAGGAAAATTTAGAAATGGCAATCTGATGATCATCAATCATTGATCATCATCATGAGTGTATAGTGATCTAGTTGATAATGATTTTTGGTGATCAAAACAAATCTCTGGAAAAATAAAAAGCCAAATAAAGATGCGCTTATTTTTAGAATTTTCATAATTTTGACCAATGATTCATAATCATGGTGAAAGTGGATCTTTTTCAAAAAAAAAAAAAATTCATTACCACTTGTTGAAATTTCGAAAATTTTCTTTTCTCAGTCTTATTTAATTAGATGAATTTAATCATTGAATTTATTCATTTCACTTTGATTGACATAATTTGTAAACAAATTTATGGAAAATTTTTTTTATGGAAAATTCGTCGTAGTGTGCCACAGACACATGATTATTATTATTATAAAATTATGATTAGATTAGATTGGATTGGATATTTTTCTGGGTTTTCTAGTTCGAATAATGATGATATTAAAAAAAAATAATGATTCGGAAATGACGACAATTCATCATTAACCAATCAATCGATTTCAATATATAATGCAGATAAAATAAGAATTGACCAAAATGAATTTTTCATTTCTAAAGAAAATGAAAAATCACATGTCATTTGATTTTTTTTTTATAATTGGAATTTGTACTGGAAAAAATTAAAAAATATTTAAAACAGCGAAGACAACAACAACAAAAAAAAAAAATCAATGATGAGGATTGCCCATGATGGAAAAATTGGATGTTTTTTTTTGTTGCTTGTTTGATTGTTTGTACTTTTTTGAATATGGCACACACACACACAGATACTCACGGTTAACATCGAAGTCAAAAAAAATTATGATAAGATTTCTTTTCTTGGTCCCAAATTGCGATTTCACACACACATACATGATGATGATAAGCCACCAATAATGCACCATTCATAATCATCATCATATGATTCATTCATTCACCAAAAAAGAGCAGAAAAAAATCCCCAAATACTAGCAAAAAAAAAAAACTGAAACTTTTTTCTCCTTTGTTGACAACGACGACGACGACGAATTTCTTGTAATAATAATAAATCCAAATCGAACCGGTTGTTTCTGGTAGTGTTTGATTTGATTTGATTCGATTCGATTCGATTCATTTTTTTTCTTTCATTTTATTTATAAATGAATTGATCATTCAATCAATTAAATCTGAATGAATTGCGATTAATTCATTTCAGAAACATCAAAAATCAAAAACTGATTATTGAAAACAATTATAATAAAACTCACAAAAAAAATTTGTTACGAAAAAAAAATTAAAAAAAAAAATCTTTGAGAATATTCTCGATTCACGTTGAATTACAGTATTATTTTTGTTGATGATGTTATCCTGTATGTGTATGTATTGTATTTGTTTCTTTCTGCACACACACACACACATAAAACATATATATTGTGTAGTTTTAACTCTTGTTATCACCATCGTCATTATATTATTATGATTGATTTATTTTTAGCAACATCAGGATGGGTTTGTAATAATCATCATCATCATTATCATTGAAATGATGGGGAGGATATGTTGTTGTTGTTGTTGTTGTCGTTGTTGTTAATGTTTTCTATATATCGATAGAATGGTAGTTGTATATAACAAACTATGGCAATGATCATGACGATTATAATAACAAGTGTGTATGTGTGTGTGTGTGTGTGTTTGTAACTTTTATTTTAACTGCTATTTAAACATCTTTAGAGCGAAAGAGAGAGAAAAGAGAAAGCAATAATCTATCCATCTATCTATGTTTAGTTTGTTGTTGTTGCTGTTGTATATATTAAATTCTAATGTTGAGAAAAAAACACGCGCAAAATAATGTCTGCATCGGTTTTTTTCAACTTATAAACACCACGTACCACCATCAACACTTCTTTTGGTTTTTTTTTTTATGATGATGATGATCAACATTTATAGTCGATGTTATTTATTATTATTATTATTATTATTATTTGTTGTTGTTAATGATGATGGTGAATAAAAACTTTTTTCGCTTCATTTTGGATAAATTTTTATGTGATGATTTGGATTTTCGGCAATAGTAGTTGTGTGGTGGTGTGGTGGTGGTGGGGAAACTGCATAAATTCATTAATTGCTAATCTTTGATCTTTATATGTTTGTTTGTTGTTTGTTTTGGTTTTTCGTTTTCGTGTTTTGTTGTTGTTGATTTGTTTATTGATTCATTTGTTTTGTTCGATTTCGGCATTTAAACCTGAAAAACTTTTTTCTTTCATCAAAATAAGAACTAAATGTTTTCATTTTTTCTTTATTAACCGGATACTGTGTGTGTGTGTGTGTGTATTAACTGAGAACTTAATGGGTAAATTTATGGTTTTTTTCTCCATTTTTTTTCGATTCTTGTTCATGACAAAATTTTCCCATCATCATCATCATCATCAATAATTTTTTTTCAAGTTTCTGGTCAATGTCGTCATCATCATCATCAACAACAACGACGACGATAGAATTGTGTTTGTTGTTGTCGTCACAAATCAAAGCCATCGTCGTCGTCGTTGAAATCACTAAGCAACTGGAATGTTTCATGCCAGGTGTGTGTGTGTGTGTGTGTGTGATACAGATCAAAAGGAAAAAAAGATTCTTTTTCATTTTTTGTTTGTTTTTTTTTGGTGATATTTTTATGTAAAAAGTCACGTCGCCATGCTTATTTTATCTATCTCATTCTCACTCTCGTTCTCTAGTTCAGTGAGTGAAATATATTGTTTTATTTTGTTTTCTAAATTATCTGAAAAGAATCTGATGATTTGATTTTGCCAGAAAATTTTTTAAATTTCGAGAAAACAAAAATAATTCCCGAATTTGTTCGTTCGTTTTTTTTTGGCTTTTCACAAACAAAAACAAACATATCATCGATACCTCATCATCATTGTTATATTACTAATGTGCCAAAATAAGCATCTAATTTTTTTTAATGATTAGATTTTTCTTTTAATGATTGTTGTTATTGTCGCCGTTTTTTTTGGATCAATTAAAAATGTACATCTAGCGCGTGTGTAATGTACAAAAATTGAGAACCAAAAAGTAAAAGTGAATAATTAGTGTGTCGTCGTCGTCGTCGTCGTCGTTGTCAATTTTGATAAATTCAATGAAATAATAATAAACAGAGAGTTGGAAAAAAATGAAAAAAAAAATCATTTTAAAATAATCATCAATGAGGAAATGAAAAGTTTCAACATCTTCTTGACAATTGTCATTGTGAATAATAATTATCATTTTAAAAATTACTACGTCATATTCTATTCGTTGTTATTTTTTCAATTTATGATGAAAAGAAGGAAAATTTGATTGGATTTTTTTTTCTCGACGAAAATTTGAATTTAGCATCAAATAAACGCGCATAAACAAGAGAATAATTTGAATCAGTTAATAACAATAAATCATTGCTGTATCAAATTTCTAATTGTTTTTTTTTGCATTTCTTTTTCTATCACCATTCTAGGTTAAATTCAATCAATCGATAACCAAAATAAATAAAATATATAATACTGAATGAATATCAATCAATCAATCTACCTCTGTTGTCCAAAAAAATTTATAATTCAATTGACAAATTAAATTTGTGTGTGTGTGTGTGTGGTTTCAGCAGATAATAATAATTTAATCAATACCGCCAATATTCATGATAATCATCATCAACAACATATGTCCATCAATCAGTGATTCATGAGTTAAAATCAACAACGATGGCTAGTGCATCAGTGAGTCTAGCCCAAGCGGCTACTACAACAACGGCACCGGTTGTAGCTATGGTCACCAGTAATGGTGGCGATGGTGGTGATGGTAACGAAAATATTGATTCACCAATGTCGAATTCATCATCAACAGCTGTGGCCGCAACAACAACAACGACAACGATGATTGGACAGCCACCAAATCAATTAACATTACAACAATTTAAACAACAATTAATTGAATTAAAACAACAACAACAAATACAACAACAGCTTTTATTACAACATTTTCAACAACAACAACAACAATTGAATGAACATCATGAAAAACAATTACAGGAACACATTCGTGTAAGTAATTAATGGATAAATGTATCGATGCCAAACAGATCACAGAGATCTGATTGGAATTGGAAATGGATGACTATTTTTGAAATTAATTCTCTCAATCTATTTTAGGAATATATTGAAAAACAGAAAATTGAAAGAGAAAAATCTGAACAAAAACAAGCGGCAGCAGCAGCAGCAGCCGCTGCACAAGCACAATTAGCTGCTGCTGCGGCTACACAAGCTCGTGTTGAACAACAACAAATAGAACGTGATCGACAACAACAACAACAACAGGAAAAAGAAATGCTGAAATTAAAGAAAAAAGATGGACCATCAGCTAGTGCATCGATGGAAGTGAAACAACGTTTACAGGAATTTGTTTTAGCTAAAAAACAACGTGAAGCAGCAGCGGCGGCAGCAGCCGCAGCAGCTGCTGCAGCTACCGGTGGAAATAATTCCATTGTTACGTCATCATCAACGACGGCTGGTATAGCCGGTACACCATCACCACCAACACCGTCATCGACAACATCATCATCACGTATTCAACCATGGCATACGACATTAGGCAAATATGATAATGATTTTCCTTTACGTAAAACCGGTACGTTTTGTTTTTGTTTTTGTTTTTCATTCATTCAAGAATATTGCTCTTGTTATTACAAAATTTGATTGATTTTGACATTTGTAATCGATCAATCAAAATTATAATAATGATAATGATTCAAACTAATTGTTGGCTATTTTTATCTATTTTCATTATTCATTCATTCATGAATTATTCATTGTTGATCGCATGTTGGTCCTCCTACTCTAAATAAAATTTCTGATCACTTCCTGTTCCACTTGTACTGATGCTGCTGTTGTTTTTGTTGTTGCTACTACTGCTATTGCTGCTGCTAAAACAAATCCCTGAAAAATGGCTTGAAACCAAAAATTAAATAAATCAAATGAATACAATAAATTGATTGATAATAACAATAATTGTGTGTGTGTGTGTAGCATCCGAACCTAATCTTAAAGTCCGATCTGCGCTAAAAGCTAAAGTGATCCAACGTCGTAGTTCACCATTGCTTCGTCGTAAAGATAAACCATCACCGCTTAAACGTCGCACCATGTCAAGTAAGATATTTTTATTCTCATTTAAGTGATCACTCAATCAATCCAATGGAATGAGCTTATGGAATAATTCTTAAATAAATTATCGATTCTTTTTGAATCCAGAATTCTAATAGAAATATTTCTGTTTTTTTTTCATTATCACCCTATTCTATGTAGATGATGTATCTAATGGCATTCCAGAAAATTCTTGTTCCCCACCTAGTGGTGGTGTACTAAGTCATCAATCGAGCTTTGGTTCCGGTGGTTCAGGATCAACACCTATACAAGAGGTTTTTGTTGTATTTTTTTAATTTTTACAAATCAAAGTTAAAAACATTAACATTTGGCTTTTCGTATTAGAGCTTAACCACATGAAAAAAAACGAAAAACCCACTCACACGTTTACAAGAACAAAAAAAAATCATGATTGAAATCTATGAAAGAATAATCATTGTCATTATCTTTTTTCATTCTTTTCTCCAACATTATTTGCAATGATTATTCTCTTTCTGCAAAAAAACATCATCATCTCACATGAGATTAGATTACCACTTTTATTCACACCAACAGAAAGAGAATATTTGATCTTTTTTCAAGCACACACACAGAATTGCCATGAATATATTGCATACACAGCAGACATATAGAAAAAAAGGAGCAACAAACGAATGATAATGAAACAAAGAAGAATATTCTCTGTCTACAGAAACAAACCATTGTTATATCAATGAGAAATAAGTGTTACAAATGATAATGTCGATGACGACAACGAACAAGCAATGATGGTGATGATGTAATAATTATTAAATGAACGAAATAAACACAAAAAAAACAACCAACACCAGCAAAAAAAAAAATTTTGTTTCAGTTTTAGGGACTATTTTTAGATTTATGGAAAAAAAATTTCAAACAATTTTAGCATCTTTCATCGATTGGATATATAATTGATTATTTTTTTTCTTCTTGGTAATAATAATTTCAATTGGCGAATCTAATTTGAATGATTTTTTTTTTAAATAAGTTATAAAAATAGAATTTTTTTTTTAAATGAACAACAACAAAAAATGGCAATTTGTCCATTATTCATTGATTGCATAGTAATAATCAATTTTTGTTTATTTTTTGTTTTTGTTTTTTTTCCAACCACCCAAAATCGTAAATAAAACACACAGGAATCAAGTCAATCACCATTCAATGGTTTGGCACAAAATTCTTCAGCATGTGATCTAGCAGCATTATATTCATCACCATCATTGCCAAATATTTCACTTGGTCGACCACATCATCATGTACCACCGACGAATACAACATCGGTTATAACGGTTTGAGTTTTTTTTCTTGTTTGAATTTTTTTTTAATTGAAATTTTTCTTTTGATTTACACAAACACAGTATCCATCGGATATAAAACCAACGACAGTAACGAATATGAATGAAATACAAATGCGAGCATTACGTTTTGGTATGACATTAGCGGCAGCTGCCGCAGCTTCATCGTCACAAACATCATCCGCATCATCTGTCCATTCCTCCTCTCATGCACCATTCTTTCCATCATTACCGGGTATTTATTTTTTGATTCATGTAGGATTTTATTGAAATTTTTTTCTTTCCTCGATCTAGTCATTGAAGGTGATTTTACTCCACCATCCAGTCCTAATTATTTACAAAAACAATTGAAAATATTGGAAGAAACAGCAGCAAGAACGACAACGACTGTGAACAACAACACTATGTCAAATGGTCCATCATCAACATCCCAATCACCCATTCAATCATCAACAAATCCATCAGCACCCTCATCATCCGCATTGAATCAAGCATTCTCACCTGCACAGGCTGCATTAGCTAACTCGGTTGCATTATATTCATATGCAACGGCAGCTGCAGCTGTAGGCATTCCAGTAACAGATAATAATATGACTGCTGCTTCCGCCGCTGCTGCCATTTCGTCCATTTATCAACAAAGATTATCGACCAATAATAATAATATCGGCGGCGGAGGCGGTGGTGGTGGTGGTACATATTCAATAACGGCCGGTGGACCAATACGACCAACTGCAGCATTACATGCTGCAAGAATAGTACAGCGACCATTAGGCCGAACACAAAGTGCACCATTGCCATTAGGTCATCCTGCATTATTATCATCTGGTGGATCATCTAATAGTACAGGTCAGCAATCATCATCATTGACAAAACCATCACCAACAACATCTAGTCTAGTTAAGCAACACATACGTAATGCTGTATTGACAAGGGCTTCAAGTAAAGGACAAATGGTCGAAAATGTTGAAGAAGAAACTGAAGCAGCAGTTGCGGCCGAAGCAGCAATGATGACGCAAGAATCAAATGATCAACAAGCATTAAAAAAGACCAAAGGAAATCCTGAAGACATATCTGATCAGGTGATTGATTTGACCAAAAAACGATCGGCTAGTGAAGAAGAAAAATCATCATCAACTAGTCCAAATGCAACAACAACAACAACAACAACATTAAATCAAAATACAGCTACAGCTGCCGATTTAATGTTTCCAACAAACTTATCACCATTTCGTTTAACATCAACAGCTAGCGCAAGTAATATTCAACAAGCCCTACAACAACAACAACAAATTCAACAACAACTCCAACAACAACAACAATATTGTTTACCATTTTTAGGTTTAACAAATACGGCACCTGCAACAACAACATCGATATTACCAACAACACCATTAGCTACGTATCCAATTATTGATCCAACATGGGCTGCATTCTATCAAAGAGCTATTACTGGAAGTGGTGGTAATAATTTTCTACAATCAGCCACCAGTAATAGCGCTTTCCGTTCACCATTATTATCTGGTACAGCAGCAGCAGCAGCAGGAACAACTGCAGCTCAATTATTAATGCATCATCATCATCATCATCCACAGACGCAAAATACTCATCCACATTATCTACATTTGAATCATCAATATCCTCCTCATCATCATCATCATAATTATCAGCCAATGAATCCTGGTAGACCATTATCTCGCACATTATCTAGTCCACAAGTGATGCTTAGTCACAATAATAATGCTAATAACAATAGTGGCCATAATACCTCACCTGGAAGTCCAGTAACAGGAACAACTAGTCCAGATTTGATTGTTGGTAATAATAATTATCAACAACAACAACCACCGCCACCACAACCAACACCAAATGGAAATTATCGTTTTACAACAGCATTAGTATATGATAGTTTTATGCAAAAACATCAATGTAATTGTAATGATACATTTCAACATCCTGAACATGGTGGTCGTTTACAAAGTATTTGGGCACGTATTACCGAAACAGGATTAGCTGGACGTTGTGAGGTAAATGAATTTTTCCGGAACAAAAATGATTATTGAAATTCATTTTTTTCTGTTGTTGTTTTCAAAAGCGTGTTCGATCTCGAAAAGCCACTTTGGATGAGATACAAATTTGCCATAGTGAAGCTTATACATTATTATTTGGATCCTCATTACATAATCGTCATAAGATTGATCCAGCTAAATTAGGTAATCATGTCAAATGATTGATTCATTTATTTTTCATTCAAATTTCATTTTCTAGCTGATTTACCTATCAAATCATTAGTCATGTTACCATGTGGCGGAATCGGTGTCGATTCGGATACGACATGGAATGAAATACATACAGCTGGTGCAGCTCGTATGGCTGCCGGCTGTGTAATCGAATTAGCAACTCGTGTTGCGTTGAAAGAAGTCAAAGTATGTTTATAATAATTGTCCTGATTACTAATTTAAATTGCCAATTCAATGAATGAATAGAATGGCTTCGCTATTGTACGTCCACCTGGTAGTCATGCTGAATATCAGCAACCGATGGGTTTCTGTTTTTTCAATTCATTGGCAATTGCGGCAAAAATTTTACAACAAAAACTAAGTTTAAAACGAATATTAATCGTGGACTGGGATGTACATCATGGTAATGGATTACAACAATCATTCTATGATGATCCAGGTGTCTTATACATTTCACTGCATCGTCATGATGAGGGTAATTTTTTCCCTGGTACTGGTGATCTAACCGAAATCGGTATTGGCCCTGGTATCGGTTTCAATGTGAATATTGGATTCAATGGTGCATTGAATCCACCGATTGGTGATGCAGAATATGTTGCTGCATTTCGTACGATCGTGATGCCTATTGCTCGTCAATATGATCCCGAAATTGTTCTAGTCGCATGTGGTTTTGATGCTGCACGTGGACATCCACCACCATTGGGTGGTTATCTTGTTTCACCTGCATGTTTTGCTTATATGACACAACAATTATTAACATTAGCCAATGGTCAAGTGGTTATGGCATTGGAAGGAGGGTATGTGTTTGGTTGTTTTCTTTCGAATTCATTGATTAATTATAACAAATCATAATTTTTCACCCAATAAATAGCTATGAATTGACAGCTATTTGTGATTGTGCACAAGCTTGTGTATCTGCATTACTTGGTGATCAGGTGACAGCAATTTCTGATGAAGAAATTACACGTAAACCAACGCCGATCGCTGTCAATCTATTGAATCGTGTCATACAGATTCAATGTAAGTGAAAAAAATTAGTAAATTTTTCTTTTTCTAATATGAATAATTTGAAACTCAAGCTCAACATTGGTCAAATCTACGACGTTATGCACATCTGGTCAATTGTGATGCATTAGAAGCACAACGTAAAGAGATTGAAGAATGTGAAACAGTATCCGCAATGGCTTCATTGACCATGACACATGTACAAAGGTTAGATTTTTGAAAAAAAAATTAAAGACAATCACCAAAGCTAATCATAAAAAAAAATTCAGCCCAGAATCGACAACAGAACAAACGGAAATCATATTGGATGAACCAATGGAAGAAGATGGTGGTAACGGTGGTAATGGTAGCAATGAAACTGGTGGTGGTAGAGGTGGCGATGGTGAAAAATAACAAAAAAAAAAACAAATAAAATAATCGACCAACCACAGGAAAAAAAGCCGAAACCAAAATTTCATTATTCGTGAAAGAAAAAAAAACCTTTTTACAAACAAACGAAAAAATCATTTCATCATTCTCCCTCCTTCATTTACTACCTGTTTTTACGTTTAAGTTTTCGTTTTTTATTTGATATAAATCTTACGTCTTTCTTCATCTATATCTCATACTCTTTACTTTAAAAAAAACCTGAAACAACTACAGTTGAAAAAAAACCATCCGACAAACCATCCAACAGATCTTTCTCCAAATTTTTTTAACCAATCAACCAACCACAATTCTTTTATTTTGGAAATTAATTTTCTCTTCTTTTCTCCATTTCGTCGAGAAAGAAAAAACTATGGGAAAAATTCTTTATGAAATTTTCGTATACGAAAAAAACTTACAAACACACACACACACACACACTATATACTTCCTTTTTTAAGCAACAAAAAAAAAAAAAGAATCTATATATATGCAATGTGCAAAAATCAAGTGAAACAAATCAAACTTTTTTCCGATTTTCAGCTTTTATTATTATTTAGTACATTTTTTTCCGGTCGCTTTCTCTCGAAAAAAACAGAATTTAATGAAATGAAAAAGAACGACACCAATTTTTTCTCTTTTTTTATTTTCTTCTGCCTGCTGCCTCGATTCTATATATTCTGATTTTTCTTTTCATTTTTTTCACACAAACATACACACAAAATCAATGATCATTTCTTCATCATCATCATCGTTGTTGTTGTTGTTGTTGTTATTGGACATTTTTTTTCATTCATTTGAAATGAATGATGATTGAATTCTCAGTCATATGGACTATAGAAATTTTTTTTCGTTTTTTTTTGTTAATTGATTCTATTCCTTTATTATTTTTTATTGTTATGACCTGTTTTTTTTTGTTTTATGGACAATTTTAATGTTGTTGATGTCATTATACAATCAATCAATCAATCAACCGATGAAAAGAGATCAATAATATTTATATACAAACAACACCAAACAATAAACAAACAAACAACAACAACAACAACAATAACAAAAATGTGAAATCCTTATTCACATTCATTATTGAATCATTATTTTCAACAAAATCATCAAAGACAAAGACAAAGACGAAACAAAACATCATCATCATCAACATTGTGTATGACAAATTACATTAACTGAAACTTTGACTATCTCTCTCTCTCTCTCTCTCTTATATGAATGTTCAATGTTGAATTTTTTTCTCTTCATTTTTTTTTTGTTGTTGTTCTCTTGTTTTTTTCTTCTTGTTCACACCTGAATGTTTTCTTTCTCCTCTTGGTTTTTTTTGATGAATTTTTATTATTATTATTATTACAAATTATATACAAATTATTTATCAAATGTTTTACCCATTCATTTGAATGATTAAAGAAAGAATAAAGTTATATGTAACCCAAAACAAGAAAAAAGATGGCGTTGTTTTGTTATCAGGAAATTTTTTTTTTCATATCTTCATCTAAAATTATGAGGCTGCGCTAAAGATGAATAAAAGAAATTTCAAGTTCCACCTCCCACCCAACGCACACATAAAATACATTATTCGACAATGATCTTGTTTTGTGATGGACACAAACTAACTAACTGTGAGGCACACACAAAAAAAAACACACACACACACACGATGATTATATCAAACTAAAGTTTGTCGATTATATAATCAATGATAATTCTTTCTCAGTGGAAAAAAAATTCATTCAATAAAACACACATGCACAAACACATCATCATCATTCCAACAAAGCAAAGCAAAAGAAATGGAGTAAAAAAAAATTCATTTGCAACGCAAGATTCAAGCTATATAATCAGGCCAAAAAAAAAAAAAAATACAACCAACTGGTTGTTATCGTAGTCGTCGTCTTGTAAAATACAGAGAGCAATTTAGTTTGTCGAGAATCTTATTCCGTTAAACATCATCATCATCATCATTTTGGGATAGTTTTTACTATATGGATTTAAAATTCAAAACTTTTGTGTGTGTGTGTGTCATTTTATTCTGAATTTTTGTGAACTCTCTAGGTGTTTGTGTGTGTGTGTGTGTGTGTGCTTCAAATCGGTTATTGTTTCCGGCGTTTGGATTATTTGGAATCGAATTAATCGAAATATTCACTAAACGGCAAGTTTTTTTTCTACATCAAAAGTTTTCAAGTTGAACCAATTTTAATTGGGTAAGTATGTGGTGGTGATAATCACAATTTATTTGGCTTTTTTTGATTGCTGTTGTCACAATTCAATGGTTTTAGATTTACGAAACATACAGAAAAAAAATTGGAATTCAAATGAAAATAAAAAAAAAAGATTTTCAAATGAAAAAAAATGTGTAGCCTCAAAAAAAACTTGTATAATCTACCAAAGTGTCTGTTTGTTGTTGATGTGCATCAAACGAAAAAAAACACTATGTGGGTGAATGGAAGAATTATTCATTTTTTCCAAAAAAAAAAAAAAAAAAAAAAAAAACACAAATTTCAAATTCAAATGTACAAATTCTCTTTTCATTCATATGATAATGATGATGATCATTGTTAATACATTATAAAATTTTTATTGAATTTCTATTATTTGAAAAATTTTCTCTCACTCTCTTTCTATCCCACAATCATAACCGATAAGAAACATTATGATTGGTTTTATTTTTTATTTGCCACAAAATTCACATGTAGATACATTGAACATTAATTTTCATTTCTATGACCACTTTTTTTTTCTTCTGTCTATTTTGGCCTCTCTCGAGACATTGGTCAATCAATTTTTTCATCAACAACAAGAGTTGAAATAAGATTAAATTCAATTCAACATAGTGTATTGACTATAATACTCCTACAACTACTACTACTACTTATCAAAAATAATATAGAAATGAATTAATGCTTGATATCAGAAAAAACGAAAAAAAATCATTATTAATTAGATAAAATAAATGAAAAGCAAAACAAAAAACAATGTCAATGTCAATTTATCATTCATAAATTAAATCGAATAAATATTAATTATAATCACCATTCATTATGATTGAAATAATAATGAAAATAAAAAACAAACGTGAATGATTAATTGATCAAAAACCAAAACTAAACCATAACATCATAGACCAGCACCAATACCGTTTAAACATATTGTAAATATTTTCTTTTCTTCTTTTTCTCCAAAAAAAATATGTGTAGTTGTTTTAATGTCACACACACACACATACATTGCATGTATTTTGACATGAAGTTTTTTTTAATCCAAAAAAATAACAATAGACATCATCAGCATTTGATTCCAAATGGTCTAAATTTTATTTTCCTGTTCTTTTTCTCTAGTTTAGACTAAAAATTAATAAATGAAAATCTGAAAATTGTTGCATGGATGGATCACTGAGCTTTGGGCCATACTTTAAATTGCCATCATTTTTCATTTCTCTGCTCATTTTTCATTCATTCAAAATTCATTGATTCTTATTGTTGTATGTTTCGAATCATGAATATGCTGGACAATTGCATACAATTTTTTTCACTAACATGACAATTGTTCTGTAGCTGTGAGTGTGTCTCCCCTCCCGTTGACATTATTTATTTTATTTTCATCATAAACAAAACAAAATAATAGAAAAAATGATCAAATCATTAAAAGTACGATTCATTATTATCATCATGATGATTAAACAAACAATAACAATTTGCGTGTTCAATTTGATTAAGAAAATCAAAAAAAAACTCTACTGTGAAATTTCACAGTGAATATTAAAGCAATGTAATTACATCAGTAGAATTTAAATGAATTCGAGAAAAGAAAAGTATAATTTCTCTATGGACCGTAATCATTTTCAACAGAAAAAAATCAAAACGATAAACATCTCTTCAACAAAAAAAAAGAGGCAAAATTTGCTGATGATTGCCATTTTTTTTCTTGATTATTACTACAGAAATGGATACAATACAACGAAATAATAACAATAAAAATCATCATTTAATGAAAATTTGTTCGAGATGAAAGAGAAAAAAAAAATACCAGAACTTTTTCCCATTTATTCTACACTCGAAAAACGAGTCTATTGTCGTCATCATTAGTTATTGATAACAATGCCGGTGAAAGAAATGGAAAGCGAAAGGAATTTTGATCAAAGAATAAAATTCTGACTTTTTCTAAACACACACATACACACACACATGGCTTTTTTCCATTCTGCTGGCTCATTTCTTATTCTTCATTTCATTTTCAAAGACAATTTCCAATGCTTTTATGAATCGTTTTTTGTTCTCTTCAGAACAAAACGATCATGGTGTTGTTGTCAACTTTAGAATCAAAAGCTTCAGATCAAAATGTGTAGTGAAATGACAAGCAAAAAAAAAAAAAAAAAACAAGAATAAACCTAACAAAAAAAATGACGTGAGAATTTGACAATTTGTCTTTTTATTTGTGTCCGGAATTTGTAAAAGAGAGAAACCAATGTTTGCAAGTTTTTGAAATAAACCTATTGTTTGTTTGTGTTAGAATTACGAATGGTTTCATTTTAAATTATACAAATTAAATATGTGAATACAACAAAACAGTTTATAGGTATATGTGAAATTTTAGAAAGTGCTCGAACAATATACAAAATATGATCAATGTTTTCATTTTCAACAGTTTGATTCTTTTCTTTTGCTAAGAAGAAAAATCATCTCAATCGAATTAATTGAAAAAATGTAATGGAAAATTCTGTTTGATCAGAAAAAACAAACAAAATGAAAGAAAAATTGAAATTTTATTCCATTGTTCCAGAATATTATAGGAAAATAAATATATTCAGTTCAAATTCTCCAAAAAAAAAAATTTTCCTGAATAATGATGATAACAATGATATAAATGAAAATATCGAATGAAAGAGAAAAAGAAAATAAACAAATGTCAAGTGTCGTGTTTGGTATCATCAACATTCTTTGAAGTTGATAAAATGACGATTACATTTTTTTTACAAAGAAAAAAAAGGTTCAAAAATTTCATTCTTGAGAAAAAAGGAAATTAAATGGCCCGCCATGATCAACAACAACTATAATAATAACACATTACACTACCAGCATGCGAAAAAACTAACTTTTCATGAACATTCAGATTTTCAAAGTTTCCCGGAA